CCCAGAGCAATATCAACGCATTTAATCTGCTGTAAACAACTTTCCTTTGTGCAGTTATAACTTTAGATGCATGCACAAAAAGACATATTGTTAGTACACCGTAAAAAGGGGACTTTTCTTAGTATTTGTCAAGGGCTGCAGTAATTTTGAAGGGCTAAACAATATTTTAAAAGAAAAATCTTTGTGTTTCGAGTATCACAGATCCATGAAGTGAGCATAGGTGTAGGAATGAATGCTAGTTTCCTGCATTTAAATTAGCAAAATCTAACCTTAGCTTGACGACTTTAACGGAATACTTTAGCCTGTAAATAATAGCTCTTTGTGACTGTCGTTATTTGAGCGTACCTGCAATATTTAGCAGCCGTACAAGTGCTCAAGTCATCTGGCGTTTCCCAGAAGAGCCTGTGGGATGCTGCCCCCTCCCTTCGGCAGTGACTCAGGGTCGTGGAGACCACGCAACCCCAGAGGCATCAGGCGGGGGGGCCGCGCTGCAGTGCGACTTACCTAAGCCACCCGAAAAATCCCCTGGAGCGCCCCTTTCCTGATGGTTGCGCTGAGCGCAGCGATCGTCGTATCGACAAACCTGGCTTGGAGCGGCAGCGGAGAGACTGCCGTGGCTGGCGCGTGCCGGGCCTATTCTAACGACACGAAACTGTTGGAGGTGCTGCGGCCACCTCTGTAACGCGACGCAGCGGCAGGAGTAGGTAGTGCTTGACTTTGGTTCTTCAATGCCGAGTAGCAACCGAGGCACGTTTCTCAAGAGAGGTTTCGCTGCAGTTGCGTTTGCAGAGAATTTGCGTGGCGCGTGTGGTCCCGGAGCTGGCTGCTGGGTCGCCGTGCTGAGTAAAAAGGAAAAATCCTTCCCAGTTTGACCGGGATATAGCCACGTCCTTTTCCCCAGTGTGACCTGCTGTTTGTTCAGGTTTTGTAATTATTCGCTGGAGTTTACGATTCAGTGTTACATAGCACGGAAGAAAAGCCAAAAAGATTAGAGCAGTTTTTCCTATGAAGATGCAGAAAGACTGGAAAGGGCAGTTTTACAGCCTACCTCCAGTCAGAGGTTTTGTCTCAAAGATTTTGTTCTTTTTGTTTTAAAAGGGCTGCTCAGCTGAACGGTTACTGTAACTTACACCCCTGCGCTTCACCCAGGAGCTTGGAATTTGGAGGTTAGCAGTGTGAGAAATGAACGTGAGAAAAGAGGCCTGAATAGTGCCGCCGCCTTCCAGACGGGTACTTCATGTTTCAGACAGAAATAAGGACTGCTGATAACGTGGTACAGCTGCGACTGGGTCGCTATTAATTTTGAGTATAAGCTTTGACCTTTTCTTGCTGTTGTAAAAAAAAAAAAAAAAAAAAGGCCTCAGGCATTTATTATAAAAAAAATTGCTTAGGGTCATGAAGTCAGAGTTGAGTTTGAACTAAAAGATTTCAGTACGACAACGGTAAGGATGGGTGTTCTTCAGTGTTTAATGTTTTAACAAATGTGAGTAGGAATTTTTTTTCCCCAGGCAGCCTTGAGCTAAGTTGAAGGACAGAGCTCACATGAACAGGTCATGGTGGGGGCTGTTTGCATGACTTACCGTGTTTAAAACTGATGTTTTTTAACACTGTAATGTATCCTAACAGTTTGTATACTGTTTCACAGGTTTATGTATAATAAGCTATTCATATGCTAAACTGCCAGCTAGGTAAGGTACTTGTAGGAAGGGAGGAGGAAAAAGAAAAGAGGTCAAAAGGAGGATGGGGGTTTATATTGGATATCATAATTTTTTCCCTGGAGCAAATAGGCACGATCTCGTGCAAGAAAGGTTGTAGAAGAGGAGACGTTTAGGAGCAAGTGATTTATCCCCGTGCTTAGGCATCTATTGCTGTGTGTCTGCATTGGACCTGTGACTTCCTTGAGGCCGGGCCCAGCAGTTTGCCCGTGCGGTGCCGAGCGCTGCGGCCTCGGGAGAGGGACCTCTTGGCACTGACTGCTGGTGGACGTGGTGGCAGCAGCTGTGCGAGGTGGATGAAGCTGTGTGGGAGACTCTTCTGACAGCACTGCAGGAAAAAGTCTTTTCCCACCTAATTAGTGATGCTTGCCTAATTGGCAAAGTTGATGCAGTGGTGTTTTTTTTCTTTTTTTTTTTTTTTCCCCCCTCCTATGTTGCAGATATACGCGGACTGCAGGGATTTCTTGATCAGGCCTCAAGGCTGGGACTTGATGTGTCATTGCAGAAAGTGGACAGAAACATCAGCCGAGTCTTTGCCGACCTTTTCACTACCATGAAAACAGAGGAGCTGAACCGCTATCGCGACACCTTGCGGAGGGCCATCTTACTGCTCAGCCCGAGGGGAGCCCAGACGTTTATTAATGAGGTCAGTGCACAGTTGTTTTTATCATCTACGTTTCAGGAACGTGTGTGATGACTTACGTGCTACTTTGCCAAGTTTTTGGAGTGGTAGATTTTGACAGTGCTGGCTGATAAATGTCAAATCAGCTTCTCTGTCAGACTCTGGTGCCAGAGAACTGAAATATGGGGCACTGCCTGCAATACCTACTCTGCTCTTGATGGAAGCGGGACAGCATAGGCCAGATGGGCGCTTTCAATATAAACTACAGGTCTGCTGGGCAATTTTTTTTTTCTGATTGTCTTCCATACCAGTGCTTTTGACTTGGATTTAAGTCACCTTGACTTGGATTTAAGTCAGCATCTACAAGTGACCAGAAAATCTACTGTAGGAAATTAAGCATAAGGTGTAGAAATTAAACGTAAGGTGTCTAGGAGTGTCATCTTTACTGTGGAAATCTCCAAATTCATGATAAAATGGTGCGTTATTACTCTTTGACAGCTGAATCACGACGTTTCTATCAAGCATGAAGTAGGAATTATATATATGTTTGTCTTTTTCTTAATGGTTCCTTGAAATCAAGGAGGCTAATTAGGACAGGGACGTAGCTTTTGGGCAAACTTGTAATTAATGTTGTGCTATGGGCTAATTTTTGGCGTTAATTAGTTTTATCCAGCTTTTTAAATATTAAATAGTGAATTATTCTACAGTGCTTCATATGTCACCGTTGGAAATAGGAGTTGGATCCTCAGTGTAACTTCAGCATACTAATTAGCTAGGAATTTGGCCTTGTAATAATTTCTTTTTAAACTTACTAGGGATGAGACTGAACTAAGAAATTAAAATGTGGATGGACCTGTTTCCAATTATCAATTTTGCTGCATCAAAGCCTGCTAAATTAAAAAAAAAAAAAAAAAGTTAAATTAGCTCATTAGGTATTTTTATCATATCAGCATAAATAAATCCTCCACATTTGTGTTCAGCTCTGATTTTCAAATTAATAGGGTTAATTTTGTCGTAGATAAATGAGGCAAACGGGTAGCTTGGGAAGGGCTTAGCGCAGGGACAAATTGGGCTGGTGTGTGCGCATACCTCGGGGCTTTCGCTGGAGGAGCGAAGGGAGTACTTGCCAGCCTAATTCGGTTCAAAGTGTTGCCGGCTGTACGCGGCTCAGGCAGTCGGGCGCTTTGCGTCATGGTAGGCCTCCAGCAAAAACACATAGCGCTTAGTTTTCCAAGGGATCCTAACAAGGTGTCCAAATCAAGTATTAAGCAAAAATCAGCGCGGGCGTTTGAGCCAGCTCTGCGCTGGGCAGAAGGGCCGTCTCCCGTGAGCGCGCGCTGCCGGGGCTGTTGGTGAGAGTTACGTGCGTGTGCTGGCGGGACCCTGCCGCGCTCTCGAGCGTCGGGGCTAATGGATTAAACTGTTTTACTACTCACTTCACCTTAAAGCAGTGTGTATTATAGGCATTAAGGCTAATGATCTTGGTATTCTTCCAGATCCCTGCAGGAGTTTAACTGTGGGCAGAAATGAAAAGTAATTTATTTGGCAGTCTTCCTATATTGAATCTTGATTGATTCAGAAAAGCTTTATGAAAGAAAATGTGACTCTTAGCGAGGGGCTCTCAAAAGGCTCGAGAGGTGGGGTGCTCGGTGTGGGGAGCGCTGACGGAGGCTGGCCTTACGTTTCTTGGCCTTAACGGCCACACTGATTCCTCAGTGTTGCAGGCAGTAACTGCAGCTGATTATCTACAGCGCAGTTTGAGGTGGTTTGGAATAACAAGTTTTAGCTGCAATGAAATGCTTACTGTTACATAATGTACAGAAATGTGTCGTTCACAACGTGTAGCGGCAGAGAGTCAGTCCCTTCACAACTTGGTATTTCTATAGTTATTAAGTATTTCATGCTATAGGTCAAGTAATGACTAGAGCTGGATTGCTAGCAATATGACATCTTAGAAGTTGTTTGAGATTTTGAAACGGTTTCCCTTGTCAGAGGTGGGGAAAATCTAGATCTCAGAAAGCTGTAAGGAGCAATCTGAGAAGAAAATTCTCAAAGACTTTATTTTTAAATTTTGAGCATATTAATTTGATTTTTTTCTATTTTAGCTCAAGTTAAAAAATTTGAGAACGACAAGATTCTATAAATTTCAGGAATTGGAAGATTCAGTATGAGAAAGAGGTTCCTTATTAATGTTTTCAGTTTTGATGAGCGGATATTTTCTGTGGGGGAAAAATGTCTCTGAAAAACTCCAACCAGATCTCTTAAAATCGGTTAGGTAATAATATATGTTAATTAAAAAACAACAAAAAAACCCCTCCAGAACAAAAAACCCAAGGGGTTGCCCACAGGCCCTCCTGTGGAACGCGAAACAAAAATAAGATATTCCCAGAGAGAGTCTGGGTCATGAACCCTGATACAAATGGTTTAAACAACATCTTCTAAGTACAGTTCATAGACATCACCTGTTTGGCACTTGTTCACCTTGCCTGCTTAGTTTGCAAGCGGTACGTTTTTCCCCTCTAAAAATCTGGATCCAGATTTCAGTCCTGCTCATCAGACTGGGCCAGAGGTGCAACATCTGACCTTGGAGTGTTGGAGTGAGGGAGCAGCTCTGCCATCTCAGCAGCTCTAAACTACCTAAAGCCTGGAAGCACTCATTTCTAGGTTTATGTTTTTGGCTTTGTTTTTATTTAGGCATCATTTTTACTTTACTGACTTAGTATCCTCAGTGCCTGGTTCTGCAAAGTGTCAAACTTACTGCATCAGAGATTATTGACATTTCTGTAAGTTTTCAAGATTTATTATTCTGCTAAAACCGCTTTGACTTGTTTTGGGAGAGAGAGAGGAATCTTCTCAACAGTATAGGTATAAACATTGAATCAGCATTTATGAGAAAACAGAAGGTAACTACGTTTTTATAAATGTTAGCTACCCCAAGTTTTGCATTAAAAGGTCACTTTGGGATTAAGGCAGACCTAATCTAAAGAGAGCGTGTCCCTCCTTAATCATTTTGAGAAGAACGTTCCCTTCTCTACCTGCAAAAATCCTTGATGTGTTTGGCCGGGCACTGTTGTTCAGCTTACATGCAAAACCTCAGTTATAAGGGTGACAGCAAAAACAGTTTTATATTGTGAAGACCAGACTATGTGACCTCCCAGCAAGGCAACGTATAGAAAGAAAAGAGGGAAATTCGGGGCTGGGAAGGAGATGTTTTCTTGTAGCTATTCTGTTCCTCCCTTTGGCCCAGGCGGCAGGGTCGGAGCCTCGAAAGGCTCCCCCTTTTCACAGCCTCCTGCAGAGATGGCCGGGCTTCACCTGCCTCTTCCACTTAGCGATGGATACTTCTCTTTGGTTGCAAGTAGAAGTATATTTGTGTGGGCTACTTTTATCATCAAGGGCTCTTCACTGCACAGTGACATCAGTACATGGAAAACAGTTCAAAGAGGGTTGACAAAAGCAATGAAAGGACAGGAGAGCATGACCTGTGAAGGAAGGTTTCAGGAATGCGCTATATACAGCCTGCCAAAGGGAATATAACTGACAAATACTTGAGAAGAAATATCATGAAAGGAGGAGGAGGAATTATTTAAGGTGGTCATGGGTGGTCTAACAGGAAGTAATGACCTGCAGCTAAACGGGGAAGTTTTCTAGCAGTGAGGTCAATTAGATAACGCGAGCGCTCAGCAAGAGAGGTCAGTGAGGCGTCGTCATTCGGGGCATTCAAGCGTGCACTAGATAAAATGCTTGGGCAACTTAGTGTAGCAGTCCTTCCTGAACTGGTTTGAAGGATGTTCTAGATGACCCAGGGGTCTTTCTGAAGAACTATCACGTTACATTTGGGGTGTGAATAAATTCAGGCTTGGTACACACCGTGTATGGCATATTTGAAGAGGAGGAAGAGGTCTATTATTTTAGCGTTTGCTAAAACGCTAAACGTTTAGTAACACGTTTAGTAAATGTGCAGTACCAGTTAGCTGTTGAGGGCTTGTTTGGGATATGTATTTTAATGAGATTTTTCTTTGCAAACATAGGCATTATCAGTTGCTTTACAGATGTCAGTCGTTCTATTTTCCAGTATTATCACTCTTACTTTCATAAACCAGTAAAGCAGAGGCTGTAACACAGTTGCGTGTGGTTATTGATCTGGAAAGAGAAGGAAGTCTTGGCTATACAAAACCTTCCTTAACTCGGCGTAGCTTGTTTTTTTGCCGGCTTCATTGAAGTGCAAAATATTTCTGTTTAGATGTGTCTTTGAGAACATCATTACTTGTGAGTCTGTCTTGCCTGTAAGCTAGTAAGCGTACCGTAATAAGGTGGCTGGTATATATGCATATCACTGCAGCATGCCAGCTCAAAGCAGAACTGGCTGTTGTACGCCTAGTACTGTAAACAAATCAAAATTTTTAATAAGAAAAAGAGCAGATTAATTGCATTAAAAACTAATGCTAAAACCCTGTATCTGTGCAGTAGGTTTATCTGAGGTCCTGAAATTCCACTGGCAATTGAAGTTATCGACTTCCTGGACAATACCAACGTTGCTAAATAGTTGTCATTTATCTCTACTCTCCTTCCATAGTCACCTCTGTCTCCTCACTGGAAACCAAAGATTGATCTCTGCTTCTTTTTTACAGTGGTTCATGCCAGGTGTCTGACTTTTTAAAAAAAAAAAAAAAAAATTACAGAGGTTCTGCTTCTGCATTTGCTTTTTGGAGTCATTTCACACTGCTTGGTGGCCCCCCTTTCCTTCCTGATCATTGAAGGTGCCGAGCGCCTTGCTCCTGAAGCCCTCCCCGTTGGGGCTTGTTTGTGAACGGTGCTCCAGGCTTCCCTTTTTCCTTCTCCATTTGGTGGCATGCTATTACTCGACTGTAGCTGCAGGAATTATTTATGACATCTTGAACGCTCTGCACCTGCCAGGAACTGTATGAAATGTTTTTTCATAAGAAGCTAAGACCTTTATTTTTTAGAGTTTAACAGGAAATAAAGTTTAATACTAATTTTCTGGCACCTTGCATTTAGTATTG